TTTTCCTTCAGTTCTTTCAGAAGGAGTGTAGGTGCAGCCCAGTGGGACACAGTGAGTGGTTAGGAGGGGCCCCAAGTATAGCGCAGCAGGAGCCTGCAGCCTGGTCTGGCTCTCAGGGAGGGGGTGTGCTCTAAAGCTCTGAGGCCAAGGGCCAGAGTGGCCCCCAGGCGGCAAGGAACTCATCACTCCCAGCAGCACACTTTTTTTTTTTTTTTGAGACAGATTCTCACTCTGTTGCCCTGGCTAGAATGAGTGCCGTCAGCCTAGCTCACAGCAACCTCAAACTCCTGGGCTTAAGCGATCCTCCTGCCTCAGCTTTCCAAGTAGCTAGGACTACAGACATGCGCCACCATGCCTGGCTAATTGTTTCTATATATTTTTAGTTGTCCAGATAATTTCTTTCTATTTTTTAGTAGAGACGGGGTCTCGCTCTTGCTCAGGCTGGTCTCGAACTCCTGAGTTCAAACCATCTGCCCGCCTTGGCCTCCCACAGTGCTAGGATTACAGGCGTGAGCCACCGCGCCCGGCCAGCAGCACACTTTTAAATAGGTGCGTGGTGTCAGAGGAGTGCTTCTGGGAAGAGATAGAGCCGAACCTGAGTGATATTTGGAAAGGTAGCTTGAGAGGAGTATCTGCTCCAATGTAGTTCAGCAGGGATACATCCTGAAGCCCTCCTTCATGGTGATGGTTTTCAGAGATGGTTATGAAATTTTAGAAAACACAGAGAAACAAAATAAGAAAATAGGGCCAGAGTCAGGGCCACTGCCACCACCATCATCATCCTCCAGAGCCTCTGGGACCCTCAGCGCCACCACTGCCCAGTCCCGCGTACCATGCCCCTCTGCACCATGCCGTGGGAAAAGACCTTCAAGCAGCGCCACACCTTCGAACAAAGAGTAGATGGTGTCTGACTTACCCAAGAGCAGCATCCTACCAAAATCCTGGTGACAATAGCACAAATACAAGGGAGAGAAGCATCTTCCTGTCCTGGATAAAATGAAATTTCTTATACTTGATCATGTCAACACGAGAGACATCATCAAAATAATTAGAAGGCGCTTACAGCTTAATGCTAATCAAGCCTTCATCCTGTTGGTGAACAGAGCATGGCGTGTGTCTCCTCGCCAATCCTGGAGGTGTATGAAAGCGAGAAGGATGAAGACAGAGTCCTGCATGTGGTATATTCCTCCCAGATGTTTGGAATGATATTGTCAGTGTAAGACTAGAAAAATGCATCTATTCTAGAACTTTTTAAACTCTTAGCAAGGAAAAAAAAGGGACATCACCAACTGAGATTGATTAGTTCATCTAATCACAGATCATCAAAACAGTCGTGTTCCCACCTAGGAGTTTTAGGAAGTTGTTTTTGCATTTCAAGCAGAAAAACTGAGCTCCAAATGAGCACATTCAGCTTTGGAAAACTGTATTATTTAACCTAGGCTATCTTGTTTGCATTCTAAGTTGCCAACAACAACAAAAAAAGAAAACAGACACCCTCGATCCCACCAGCTAGAGAACAGCGTCTGTTCCTGTCTGGAATGTTGGTGTCCAGTCTGCTTTCTGAGCACGTCTGTGCCAGTGTCTGTTTCTGTTTGGCCAGTCTCTGCCTCTCTCCTCGGGTCTCTCTTCCCTACACAGGACACAGGCTTTGGGCAACAGCAGACTGAGCTGAGAAACAGTCTTTCACTTCTTCATTCAGCCAGCATGAACTCTTCAGCTTCGTGTGGCCAACAGAAGAATGGCCCCATCTGACCTTAAGATGGGGAGCTGATTCAGGGTATACGCCCGTGGGCCCGGGGACTCCACAGGCGTCCATACAAGTGGATGAGGGAGCCCAGAGAAGGGTCACATGATGGGTGTGACGTGAGAAGGGCATGACCCCGTTGTGGCTTTGAGGTGGAGGAAGGAGCAGAGGATGAAGGCGCAGGGAGGCCTCTAGGAGCTGAAAGGGCCATGATTCTGTCCAGATCCTCTGGAGCCCCACAGTCCTTTGGGCGGCAGCCAGGGAGACCCACTTCAGAATTCACCCACACAACTGTGAGGCAGTGAACTGGTGGTGTTTTAAGACACTCAGTTTGTGGGAATTTGTTACAGCAGCAAGAGGAAACTCAGATGCTTTAATGTCATTAAAAAGTCTCCGAAAATATGATTGTTGGCAGCTATATAATATCATTTTACAGATTATCTTCTGGATCTACCATAATGTATTTAACCAGTCCCAGGTGTTAGCTATTTCCGCTGTTTCTAATTTATGTCCTTATCGTCAAATAGGCAAATTTGTATCTAATTTGTGTGGCTAATTTGTGCTGTGGACCTTCACTGCCTGGGTACTTGTGGATAAGTCTCTGCATCTCTGTCACCTCGTCCCCCCCATCCATGTGGCCTTGAATGTTTAACAGAATGTGGACTCTTCTCGCAGTCTTCCAATTTTTCTCATTGCTTTTCCAAATTTTAATTGAATAAAGCATAATTTTGGAGAGGGAGGAATGCTATCCTCTGTTAAGTATCAGCTTTGTGGTCAGTCCTTGGATCTGCTCGCTACTTTTTTTTCTTTTGTTTAAAATTCTGGTTTATGAAATTTGTTGCGTGCTTATAATAAATGAGCATTAAGTGTAGAAGTGGGTGTATCTAAGGGAAATCCCTATAAGGATATCTCTTGAGCTCCTTCAGTTTTGACTAGTGAGTTTTTGACCGAAAAAAAAAGGTTACCTGTTATATAGGGAATAAGAAAGGGATGCTTGTAAGTAACCATCTATATAATCCGATTAAACTGAGCACTTAAGTCGGTTAGTAGCTGACGTAATAAGACAGCTGTTTCCAAGAAGATACTTTGTTTTTCTGAAAAGTTAGAACTGGATCAACATCTTCACCTCCTTCCCCCATTCCCTGCCTCCCTCTCCTCAGGAAACACCCCCGCCCCATCTTCCACCTGTTCCTTTCTTTGTAGCTGCAGACAGTTCTTCTGTCATTAAAGAAGCAAACAGAACACAGACACCCACGAAACCGTCCTCCTTGGGCCTGAACCTGTTCCGGCTCTTGCCGCAGCATCTCCTCCCTGCCCTGCCTGGCTCCCACGCTTCTCTGGAACTTGCTAGTCACGTTCTCCCCCACTTACCCCTGCAGCTGCTTTTGCAAAGGTTAGCAACACTCTCCTAATGACTAAGCCCACTTTTTCACCCTCTGTGACTTTGGTTTTTCCTCAGCCTACCTGATAATGCTTTCTTTCTGCCTCCTCCTCTGCCTGTCCCTTAGATGTTGGTTTTCCAACATTTACTTCTAAATGGCCACCTCCTAGATAGCTAGAGATACAAGTGTGTGCATAGAAATTTCTCACACACCCCTACCTGCTGACGACCCCAAATACAGACCTGCAGCCCAGACGATTTGCTCAGCCCTCGACTCGCAGGAAGCAGCCGCCTCCCGGCCACCTGGACACCTGTGCTTAGCTGGGTCACGGGACCAGGCTGAGGCCACATTTTCACCCAGCCCCACCTACACAAGCTGCTACTCTGTGCTGTACTGGGGAGAATGTGGCGCCATTCATTGTGCCGCTCATGGCAGAACGTGGGAGTCATTCTGGATTCTTCTCTCACACCCATATCCGGGGGGCACAGATCCCATGGATTCTCTCTCTGACTGCCCCATAGCTGACCTGAGGTCCCCACAGCTGTGTCCACCTGGATGGTGGCTACTCCTTGACTGCTTCCCCTGCCCCTCTCGGTGGAGCTGGGACAGCTTTTCCAGATTGCAGGGCCAATTGTCTTGTTTTTCTGCTTTATAGTCTTTCAGTAGTTTTTTCATCTTTCTTTTCTGGCACTTTTTTTTTTTTTTTTAAAAACACAGTCTTGCTCTGTTGCCCCAGCTAGAGTGCAGTGGCATCATTGTAGCTCACTGTGACCTCAAACTCCTGGGCTCAAGCGATCCTCCTGCCTCAGCTGGGACTATAGGCACAAACCACCACCCTGGCTAATTGTTCTATTTTTAGTAGAGATACTCTTGCTCAGGCTGGTCTCAAACTCCTGACCCCAAGTGATCTTCCCACCTCAGCCTCCCAGAATGCTAGGATTACAGGCGTGAGCCACTGCCCCTGACCTCTGGCACCTCTTGATCAGGATTTGCCTTGACAACTTTTTTTTTTTTTTTTGAGACAGTCTCACTCTTTTGCCCAGGCTAGAGTGCCATGGTGTCAGCCTAGCTCACAGCAACCTCAGACTCCTGGGCTCAAGTGATCCTTCTGCTTCAGCCTCCCGAGTAGCTGGGACTACAGGCATGCGCCACCATGCCCAGCTAATTTTTTCTATATATTTTTAGTTGTCCGATTAATTTCTTTCTATTTTTAGTAGAGACGGGGTCTCGCTCTTGCTCAGGCTGGTCTCGAACTCCTGAGCTTAAACAATCCGCCCGCCTCGGCCTCCCAGAGTGCTAGGATTACAGGCATGAGCCACCGCGCCCGGCCTTGCCTTGACAACTTTATAGCAACAACCTCACCCCCACCTCCACATACACAGCAGACACAACAGCCCCACACCAGCCCCCACACCAGCCCCACACCAGCCCCCACACCAGCCCCACACCATCCTGTGCCTGGGCCAGCCATGCTGCCGCTTGCCTTCATCACTGGGCCAGCAACTGCAGTGTGCCCTCCTCCCCAGCACTTCTAAAGAAGGGGTTCAGTCTTCCCCAGCACCAGGTGCCCCCACAGCCCCACCCTGCCCAGGCCCTGCTACCTGTGGCCAAGTTCTGCCCACATGGGCTATGTCAGGCTGCAGCCTGTCCCTCTCCTTTCCTCTCTAGAACACACTCCAGAGGGTGGCATTTGGACCAGTGTCATAGTGGGTTACTCGGTGTCTGTCATCAGATCTAGTAACAAAAGGAAGTATTCCTTTCCCCAGAAGGTACTATGCAAAATGCTCAGACAGAACACCGGCGCTAATGTTTTCTCGTGGTTTGTTTTCTCTCCAGAAAATGAACCCTGATTTGTTCCTGTCTCTCTTATCTAGTGGTAAGCATCCATGGCATTCAGGAGGAAGATCCCCCGCACGCTCAGCTCACCAGGCTGGATAACATGCTGCTGGCCGAGGGCGTGTCCAGGCCGGAGAAGAGAGAAAGAGGAGGACCGGCGGCAGTGGCCGGCCCAGCAACACCAGGTGGCTGTCCAAATGACAATAGCATTGAGCACTCTGACTACAGGGCCAAGCTGTCCGAGATCCGACAGATTTACCACTCTGAGCTAGAGAAATATGAACAGGTGATCTTTCTGCATGGAAGAGTTTCTATCATGTGAACGTGCGTTTGTCAAAGCAAAACTTGGAGCGCTAGCCACCTTTCCTATGTGGCGCAGGACAGGGAGCACACGCACAGGTGGCCGGCGCTACCGAAAGCCCTTTCCATCGACTTCTCAGTCACCAGCCTGTGTGTGAGCCAGGGCGCGGCAGGTGGCTGGTTCAGTGTGGAGCCTGCCGCCCCTCACTGCCCTGCTGCTCAATTACAGGCTGGCCTGTCTGTGTCCCCACCCCAGGCCTGCTGTGAGTTCACCACACATGTCACCAACCTTCTCCGGGAGCAGAGCAGGATGAGGCCCGTCTCCCCCACGGAGATCGAGCGCATGGTTGGCGTCATTCACAGCAAGTTCAGTGCCATCCAGATGCAGCTGAAGCAGAGCACCTGCGAGGCCGTGATGATGCTGCGCTCACGGTTCCTCGATGCCAGGTCAGGGACCACACACTGCCAAGACCCCAAGGGTGGGCTCTGAGGAAGGTGACAGGAATCAATGCTGGCTGGGGTTGAGGATAGCTGGGAAGACGATCCTGAAGTATTGATCACTCTTTTCAGAATTGCTAGAAAACCATAGTTGGGGAGAGGGGGCTGTTCCTAGAGTCCCAGCATGTTAACGTGGACACCGAGGCCGTCTCTTTGCAGGCGTAAGCGACGGAATTTCAGCAAGCAGGCGACAGAAGTGCTGAATGAGTATTTTTATTCCCATTTGAGCAACCCTTACCCCAGCGAAGAGGCCAAAGAAGAGCTGGCCAGGAAGGGCGGCATCACGGTTTCCCAGGTGATGTGCTCTTCTGCCACACACCGCCCCCGCCCTGTAGCTGGGAGAGGTGGAAGGTTGCGTTTCATGAGGACACCCTAGGAAGTTAGTTAAATATGTAGAGGGACGGTGCGGAACAGGAGCCAGGCTTGCAGGCTCTGCTGGCCCGCTCAGGCTCCATCCCGGCTGTGTGCCGTGAACATGGGACTCGGGCAGTCGCTCTCCTCCCTTAACCGTGAGACAGCAATGCAAGTGCACCCCCCAGGAGACCTGGGGACTCCCCGAGGGACGAATGTGGAGTGTGAGCTCCCTGAGGTGACGTGAGTGGAGTGTGCAGTCCCTGACCCTACAGCCTGCTCGTCTGCCCCTAGCATCCTCTGTGGAATTGAGGCAAAGGGGGGAAGCGCCGAGGCAAAGAAACATTCCAGAGGGTTTTCAAGTGGGAGCAGTAAGTCCAGGCAGCCTAAAGCAGAGAGGCCAGTCCAGGCCATACCCAGGGGCGTGCGAGTGTGCAGAGCGGGGCCTGGGCACAGCGCTCCTGCTCACGCCGGCACGGCCCCCACCTCTGTGGCAGCAGTGGTGGCAGGCCCTGACACACGGCATGGCTCACCGACAGTCACCACAGCCCTCCAGAGCAGCCCCTTCTCCATACTTCGCAGTTGGAGAGACTGAGTTTCTAGTCCTCAGGCACCACGCTCTGTCGCCACCCCATCCAGGCTGTGTCCAGCTGCATCTCTGTGACGGAGAGCGAGAGGAAGCCCTCAGGGTCACACAGGGAGCAAAACATCACAGAGGTGCCAGTCACATCTCCCTTCGTTCACCGGGAACTACTGTGGTGTCACCAGAAACAAGGCCAGAGCCAGAGCAAGGGGCAGTACCTCTGGGTCTTCAAGGCCCTAGAAGTGTCAGGTGTGGCTGCTGCTTGGGCTCCGCCAACAGTTGTCTGAAGAGCAGCCAGGTTCGCCCCATGGCTGGGGCCTCTGGAGAGCAGATGGGTCTTGCGACTGAGACTTCATCTGGAGAGAGGCTTGGTTGCAGATGAGAGTTTAGAAAGCACCGTCCACGTTCCAGGCACTGGCTGTCCCACTGTGTGGCCTGGGCCCTGAGACCCCCACCACCCACCAGCAGGAGAATTCGGTGCTAGGAGCCCCTTCCCACTTTGGTGGGACCACCAGGTCTTGGGACATCCTGAAATGGCTGATGATTAGTTGAAGGAGAGGGTCTTTCAGATTTGGGTGCAGACGTTATACAGGCTGCCAGGTTCACCTAGGAGAGATGGGGGCAGGAAGGGTGTCGCAGCGGAGGCCCATGGACATCTTCAGGACAGAATCAGCTCCAGCTCCAGGCTGAGGAGGTCCGAGGGAGAAAGGGGGCAGGGGCAGGGAGCCCAGCCTAGGTGGGGCTAGTGGGGGGCCCCGGAGAGCGGCAGCTGCCTCAGCCAGAGGTCTGGGCAGGGAGTGGCTGGTGGCTCCTGAGCTACAGCAGGTGGAGAAGATGCGTTGGCCCGGGTGGGGCTGCATCACACCCGGCGAGCTGCTGTGCGGGGCCTCTCCCTTTGGAGATGGCAGGCCCTGGCCAGGGGCCCACCCTCCTCCAGGCACTGGGCCTCTTTCCTCCCAGCGGTGGATCTGCCCTCCTTGATCCCTCTATGCAGAAAGCTTTCTCCTTGTCCTTCTAAAACGCCATGGAAAGTATTTGCTGCCATTCTCTGCAAACCTAGTTCCACAAGTTCTGGAGCATTCCTTATAGATAAGTGGAAGCCAACTGCTTACCTCACGTGGGTCAAGAGATGGCCACCTCATGCCCGGGGACAGTCAGGGAAGAGGTGCTATTTTGGGAGCAGGGAGCACACAGAGGCATCTTTCTTTTTATAGTTAACATTGCAAGGATAATGTAGGGACATTAAAGAAAAACTTTTTTTTTTTAAAGACAGAGTCTTACTCTGTCATGCCGCCTAGGTGCAGTGGTGTCATTGTAGCTCACAGCAACCTCAAACTCGTGGGCTCAAGCGATCCTCCTGCCTCAGCCTCCCGAGTAGCTGGGACTATAGACGTACCACCACACCTGGCTAATTTTTCTATTTTTTAGTAGAGAAGGGGTCTCGCTCTTGCTCAGGCTGGTCTCGAACCCCTGAGCTCAAGTGATCCTCCCGCTTCGGCCTCACAGCTGGGATTACGGGTGTGAGCCACTGCGCCTGGCCAAGAAGAACACTTTTAAGGAGCAAAGGTCATCTACCATCCTACCCATCGCTCAGTGGTTTCATAGCTCTCGGTACACAATGTGTACACTGCACTTGCTCTGGAATACCGAGCTGCGGCCCTGGGTGAGCACCAGACGTTTCCGTGCCTGTTGGAAGGCGCTGGCCCCGAGGTGCTGACCCAGGGGTGATTCTGTTCCAGGAGACATTTTTTGTTATAACTTGGTGGGGGGATGCTCCTGACATCTGGTGGCTGGAAGCCAGGGACGCTGCTCAACCCCCTACAATGCACAAGACGCTTCCACGGAGAAAGATGCGGCCCCCAGCATCAGCAACAGTGCTGAGAGTGACAAGCCCCGCCCCTGGGGACGCCAGTGCTGGTTTGGAGTCGGAGCTGGGCTGAAATTCCATCTTGGCTCTGGCCAGCTCTCACCCCCGGGCCTCTGTTTCTTACAGCGTGGATGTGATGATGGCCCTTCCCAGGTCAGCGTGAGGAGTAGGCAAAGCAATATATGAAAAGTGCTTAGCTCAGCACCTGGGTCATTCCAACTACCCCGCCGGAGTTCGTCCTTGCCATTTGATAGTTCTGCATTTGATCACATTCCATTCTTTCCTTAGACTGAACTCCCAGCAGTAGGGTTACCGGTTCCCAGGGGACACATGTCTCCCTGGCTCTCCCTTTCCCTGCAGAGGAATCCAGAATGTGACCTGCAGCCTGCTACCACAGGGAGCAGCAAGTGGCACTTGTCTCTTGTGTTTTTGAGCATGTCACAGACATTCCTGCTTTCCTTCCAGCTCCTTCCTCAGTCCAGGTTCCAGCAGCACCTGGTTCTTAGGCAGCAGAATTTATTTCTTAAGACACACTGGGTCCAGGGTGTCCTCAACCCGTGTGGACATTTCCCTGGGTCCACGGTTATCTGGTGCCACCTTCTCAGTCCCAGCCTCTGAACCAGCCCCCAGACTGAACATGTCCAAAGCCTTTTCCTCTCAGGCAGTGGGAGCAGCAGGCACCCCAGGTGGACCCCACAGTCTGTTCCCATCATGCCTCACACTGGCTCAGCTCCTCCAGCAACTTCTGTGTGGGTTTCCACAGGTCTCTAACTGGTTCGGCAACAAAAGAATCCGGTATAAAAAGAACATGAGGAAGTTCCAAGAAGAGGCTACCATTTACATGGGTAAAACAGCCACAGATACCACCGAAGTCAGGGGCCCAGGGAACCACACCAGCTGTCCACCGACACCCAGCTGTGGTGAGTGAGGCTGGCCCAGCCTGGGGACCATCGTCTGTTCCCATGTGGCCGGGACCACTGAGCCCATCCGGGGAGGCTGCCACGGGACCACACTGCCTCTCCCCGGCTGGTCACCGTGAGCACTCTTTGCTCTGTTCTATTCGTGTTGACCACGGCCACGATCCCGACCAACAGATACCGGCGGCAGTGCCGGTGCTTCGGGGACAGAAACACTGGCACCAATAAGAAAGGACACAAGCAGTGTGCTGGGGAGTGCCCTGCTCTCCCCGCTGGGCAGGTCCTTCCACCTCGCACCCCCCCACACACGGGACTTGGGAGGGGCAGAGGCCAGATGCCCACCAGCCTCTTGCTGGCGGAGGGGCTGGGTGGATCCCGCCTGAGGGGTGCCACAGCTCTGCTGACTGCTGGCTCTTGCTGTGACACTCATCCTCACCTTCCCACCTCTTCCAGGTTTGACTGGGCCCTTCACGCTGACTAGTGCTGGGAGCGCCTTTCTCACCCTGCAGACACTGGCCTCTCTCCGGCCCTCCCCGGGGGCAGCCAGCCTGCAGTCCCAGGTAAGTCCGGGGCAGTCCTGCAGAGCCCCGGTGGGTGGCCGGTCCTCAGAACTGGCCATCTTGTCAGCCACCTCCCAGCCTGACCTCAGGGGGGCTCCTTGGAGGTCCCAGCAACTGCAGGTTGGCTGAGCCTCCTCCAGGGGCACGGCTCTGCGGGGCCCACTCTGCAAAGACTGTGCCTCACCCGCACCTCCGCCTGTGGCAGGGCGAGAACTCATGGCAGCCGCCACGAATAGTCAGCGGACACAAGGCCCCAGAATGAGGGCTTTGGCTGTGGAGGGGAAGGATCCTCCTCCTAGGGGAGTGTGGGGAGGAGGTGGCATCTGTCCCTGGAGAGGAAGGGGCAGGCAGCGAGCAGGAGGCCTGGAGGAAAGATGGGCCCCTTCCCACTGCAGATGTGGGGCCCTGCTGGGCTCAGACCCACCGCTAGCCAGTGCCACAGTGCTGGCCAGGAACGAAGTTCCGCGCCGGCACCCCTTCCTGCTGTCTGGTGAAGAGCCGCGGGTGCCCAGTTTGGCCAGAGTGAGGATTCGTTTGAGGACTAGGAAGAAAACGAGCCAGGGGTCTCGGGCGGCTGACGTGCCCACCTCTCACAGGCCCAGCCTCCCCAGATGGTCACAGGGGCCTAACCCAGCTGCAGGTGGCGCTGGGAGGACCGGGTGTGAGGATTGTCCTGACGACACCGCGTAGGCACAGCCGTGACGTGCCCACCTCAGAGTGAGGCTGTGCGCTGTCGGCCAGGGCCCTGCCGAGCCCACAGGTTTCCTTCGTGGAGGTGTCCCCTGCAGAGCCAGGCAGCCCCTCCTGACTGACCACTGCGGGGCTTAGAACAGACACCTCCTGTTGCTGTCGGCAAGGTCTGCCCTGGCAACAGGCAGTGCCCCACACCTCTTGCAGTGGCAGTGCCCTCCCATCACCATGGCAACCCCCAACCAGGGCACAGGTGACAGGCCGCCTCTTGCCCCGAGCACCACTGTGGCTCAGTCCTGTGCCTTGTGCATAGCAGGCGTGGGAGTGTGTAGGATGAGTTAGGGGCTGAGGGTCCCTGCCACCACCAGCCCTGGACCTACCAGGCTGTCCTACCCACCCCTCATAGCAAGCAGGGATCATCAGGGTCCTGGTGCAGACGCCACAGCCCGCAGGCACCCCCACCCATACTGTGCCCGGCTTGGCTACCGTATCCTGCTCTCGTCTCTCAGAGCCCCCCACCCCAACGGCAAGCCCCGCGACGACCTGTCCTGGCCCACAGCTGCCTTCCCCTGTGCCCCTCACAGCCTGGGCTGGTGCAGATGCTCCTTCACAGAGCCGGCAGCCCTCCCTCGGCCCTGGGCGCCAGCCTGTCCCACCCCTTCCTCACTAGCCTCTTCCTTTTGGGACACAGGCCTGCTCTCCATCTTCCTGACTAGATGCCAGGCGTTGTGTGTCCATCCGAGGGCAGAATGTCCCTCGGCAGCGCACCTGCCCGAGCTGCTCTCAGACCAACAGGCCTGGCGTGCGCCGTGCCCAGCACGGTGGGGCGGGTCGTGTGGACAAACGTCCTGGAGTTGGTGGGCGCTGCACCATCCCTGCACCACAGATGGAGCCCCAACCCCTCATGATGCGGGGTGCCCCTGCCCATCAGGCCAGGGTTCAGCACCTCTTCCCTCTCACTGAGTCTCACCGTGATGTTCTTGTGGGGACTGTCGTCAGCTCCAGGCCTGACCTCGTCTCCCATCCCTCAGTGTGCAGAAACCCCAGCTGCGCTTGATGCCACGTCAGTCCTTTGCCAAAGCCCCTGGGGCTGGCAGTGGAGGCCAGTTCGTCCACGTCACAGGTCAGGTGGTGAGGCTGCCACCACCCAGGACTGACCACTCTGTCCCTTCCCTCCCCTCCTGGCTCTCCTTTGGGGTTATCCGTTGGCGTAATCTGAGCTTTCCCAGGGGCCCGTGGAAGGCCTGCCTCAGGGACGTGAGGGCTGGTGGTCACTGGTCTCACGGTCACCACCTCTGATGTTCGGTCTCTGTCTTTTCAGGCCAGAGGTGGCTGGCAGGGGGCCAGCCCCCCGCCGTCGACTGCCTCACCTGCTGGAGACCCTGGCAATGTAAACTCTGACGCATTTCATTAAGTTTTGGAGACAAGCAGAAAGGAGTGCCACGTGGGCTTCTGTGCTGGCACTCGTGTTCTTCCGCGCCTGCCACTGATGACCTCAGAACACCCAGGACGAGGGAGACGGCGGCCCCGAGCCCCCCGTCCTGGGCCCTGCCCACAGCGCTGGTCTGCTGGGATTCTCGATGGCCCCAACGCCACTCGCTCTCCCACCTCAGTTTGTTTTCTTAATGTTAATAGCAATTTTATGGTAAGACTGAATTGTCTCTTCTAGGACTCGCCACAAATTTTCCCATTAAAATTTTTGACTTATTTTAATCTTGATGTTTGGTCACTAACAGATTGGTTTCGGGTGGTAGCTGATGCGGTGGGCACCAGTCCCAGCTGCCCCTCACCTGCGCCACTGTGCGCCCGCTTCCCCCGCCGTGGGGTCAGCTCATTCTGCTCTGATGTAAATCTGTCCTGAGCTCAGAATTCTGTTGGGAATTGGTTTTGCATTTTGTGTTGTTTTTGCTGTTTTGCTGTTTTTTTATTTTGTTTTTAGCTGAAAAGTCATTATAGACAATAAGCTTCCCAAGCACTTTTCCTGCACTCTGTGCTATGAGGTCCTTCCAGCCATTGCTGGCCAAGGCTTGGGCGCTCAGTGTCCCCCGGCTCCTGGGTCTCCCTTCTGTCCTATGCTTGAAGCTTCAGAGGGACCCTTCCCCACCCCATCCCACCCCTTGCCAGGTCGTGGCTTCCTCGCCTGCAAATGAAGATGACGGGGTGGGACCAGACTGTTGGGAGACGTGAATGTGCTGCCAAGCCTGGAGCAAATATCCCCTGCCCCCATCAGTCAGTGTCGTGGTCACCCCAACTCCACGCTGTTAGCCGCCACCATGACCAGTGACTGAGCTCCTGTCCAGAATGTTCTGTCCCTTGACGTGGCCCGGGAAGGCTTCCATGCGCCTCCACGCCAGTTCACCCCGGGTCCCGGCCAGCTGGATGCGCCAGTGCCCTCCAGTTCCTCGCCTGGCTGTGAGGGCTCCGGGCCAGGGGCTGCCCACACGGAGATGGCGGCATCCCAGCCTGCTCCATGAGGGCCGAGAGTGGTGGCCACCGTGAATCGGGTGGGGAGTCAGCCTACCTCTGATCCTCACTGGGCTCCTGCCTGGCCCCAGCTCTGGCTACCCCCAGACCCAGCCCCCGCCGCAGACTCTCCAGGCCTCTGTGCACCGTTGTCAGGCTGCTTCCGCCGGCCGCGTCACCACACTGTGTCCGCCACATGCCTCCATTTCTGTGGTTTCTAAGAGCCAAGAACGGGATCTCAGCTGCAGGCAGTACCAAAGGGCACAGGAGAGCACCTTTGTCCCTCCCTGTCCCGTCCTGACCCCTTCCCCAGGCGTGTCCTCCTGCGATGATCTGTGATAGGGCACCCCAGCCTGTGTGGCCCCACTTGTTACACGACGGGTGCTGTTGCCCACCTCGCTTTTCCCCACGTAATACATCTTGGAGGCTGCTCCTCGTCCATCCCGGAGCGGCCACCACCTCTGTCTCTCGTGTGGCCCCAAGTGTGGGCTATTGAGAGGATTCCCATCTTTGCTGCTCCCTGAAGCGCAGCCTTGCCACAGGGTTGATGGCATCGCCACCCTTCTTTCTTCCCTCGCTGCCTTGCATGATGTCAGGGCGGGCCTGGGAGAGCCATCAGAGACCCCTCGGTGCAGCTGCGACATTTCCACTGAGCCCTCTTGATCTTCACCCCCATCCCTGCCAGCACGAGCCACTTGGGTGCTGGGCAGCCCTGACATCCAGGGCCCTGGACTCTGCAGCCTGGGGTGCTGTGGGGACAGGCCGTGACCGGGTGAGAGGGGCATCTGGGGACGAGAGAAGGGGAGACGTCGTCCCTCTGCCCACTCCTGGCCATAGCTGGGTCAGCTTGTGGTCCTACCGTGGGTTTCCCTCCCCACAGCGTCTTGTCTGGGTTTTCTATCATTTGCAGCCAAAAGACAGAAGTGACTCCCTCTCCCTGGCCTAAGTTCCTGTCATCGCACTTCGGGAGGCTAATACAGAAAGATTGCCTTGAGGCCAGGAGTTCGAAACCAGCCTGATCAACATAGCCAGACCCCATCTGTACAAAAAGTAAGAAAATTTAGGCAGCGGTGGTGGCGCCTATAGTTCCAGCTACTTGGGAGGCTGAGGCAGGAGGATTGCTTGAGCCCAGGAGTTTGAGGCTGCTGTGAGCTGTGATCATGCCACCACACTCCAGCCTGGGTGACAGAGAGACCCTATCTCAAAAAAAGAGGAAGAAAAACACCCATCAGGGAAGGTATCTTCTGAGGCAAGCCCTGTAGGAGGTGAGCAAGGGCGCATGCGGGGACACTGCCTGGCCCGAGATACCCACAGACACGGGAAAGGGCCGGAAGGTGCCAGCAGCTTGGGAGCATCTATCATACTCAGTCTGTCCTGGATGATCCAGGCGGTGCATGGCCAAGTGTCCCTGAGCAGGTGGCAGAGGTGAAGGTAAAGCCACAGGACTTGCTGTGAGCAAGAGTGGGGGTGGCTGGAGTCTGCGGAACAGACAGGGAAGGTGGGGGCGTGTGCAGCTCTGGACTGTCAGGCTTGAGGTGTCCATGTCACAGCTGGACACGCCAGCCACATTCAGGGGAGAGGTCTGCCCCAGAAAGAGCAGTTTGGAAGTCAGGAGTGGCCAGAATATGGGACAGAAACCAAGAAAGGCTGCCATGGAAACCGAAGAACAGACATATCAGGAGCAGACGTGAAGCTCCACCAGGATGGAGAAGTGACCGCTGGACCCAGCAGCAGGAGTGACAACAGTTCCAGTGGCGCAGTGGGGCCTCAAGTCAAGGAGAACCAGCGGCTCCAGCAGTCAGCTCTCGAGGAGATTCAGAGCAAAGACGTCACCAGGGCACTTGGGGTGTGGGAGGGAAACTGAGGCAGCAAGTGAGGGAGAGCTGCTGGGCAGGTCCTGGGGGAGGGTGGGATGTGCCGGGGCAGCCCTTGTGGACGCTGGAGACAAAGCAGCGGCGTGTGTGCCTGAGGCTGGCGCTGAGCCCTCGGTCCGCGTTGCCTGCCGCTCTCCTGCGCCCTCTTGTGGCCGTGGGGTGACTGCAGCTCACTTTTCGGAAATTCAGAGCTAGAGCCTCCCCCAGGTCCAATTCCGCACATAAAGTCCGCTTTATTAACATTCTGTAGTGCGCTATATAAATATGCCCAAGACGTGGCCGCACGACAGCATTGGAGCCGTGAAGATGATTACAGGCACCCAGGGGAAGTCCTGGGGACTCACCCTCTGAGCTCGCCCACACTGCCTGCTGGATGTGCATGCGACAGGTAGGGACACTGAGGCTCAGAGGCTTTGAGACCTGCGCCCCCGGCCCCCGTTAGGAGGGAGCAGCACAGTGGGGGCTCTGAGCCTAGAGGGAGTGGTCGGGGGGGTGGGACTGCCGGTCGGTACAGCACTCAGGAGGGCAAGTTTCTGGAATCTGTTTGGATTAAAAAATGTACACACACTTTACCCCATCAATTCCCTAAGACCTTTTCTATAGATCCATGTGTATGTGTGCAAAGGGTGAGGCGTTTATTGCCATATTTTTTGTAATTGCAAAAAATTGGAAACAAATGTCCATCAAGCCAGTGGTTTACCAGGCATGCGGTGGAATACTGTATAGCCATTAGAAAGGCTGGAGTTAGCCAGCTACAGTGGCGCGCGCCTGTAGTCCCAGCTGCTCAGAGGCTGAGATGGCAGGATCCCTTGAGCCCAGGAGTTTGAGTCCAGCCTAGGCAACATAGCAAGACCACATCTCTTTTGTTTATTTAATTTATTTATTTATTTATTTATTGAGACAGAGCTTGCTCTGTTGCCCTGGGTAGAGTGCAGTGGCATCATCATAGCTCACTGCAACCTCCAACTCCTGGGCTCAAGAGATCCTCCTGCCTCAGCCTCCCAAGTAGATGGGACTACAGGCATGCGCCGCCATGCCTGGCTAATTTTTTCTGTTTTAGTAGAGACAGGGTCTCGCTCTTGCTCAGGCTGGTGTCGAACTCCTGAGCTCAAGCGATCCTCCCGCCTCCCAGAGTGCTGGGATTACAAGCGTGAGCCACCGTGCCCGGCTTCTCTTTTTTAAAAAAAAGGCTGAAATGGCATCTCCACACAGGGGCGAGGAACCTGCGGCCTTAAGGCAAAATGTGGCCTTCTAGGTCCTAAAGTGCAATCTTTTGACTGAATCCAAATAAAATCCTTTTATTAAAAGGAGTGCAGCAGAGAAAGATGAAGCTTTTCTTGACTCTTCGATGCTTAAAAAATAAGAATCTTGAAATCAAAGGGCCTCAGGTTTCCCACACCTGGAGGGTGACAGTTTGTAAAGATTTTTTAAATGGGGAGGGGGAGACTTTTATCCACATATCTCTGGAAGAAGACAGTAGTCACGGACCTGGCCTCTGGGGAGGGGACAAAAAGCTGGGGGATGGCAGGGGAGACAGTCTCCTGCTTCTCTGTGCAGATGCTCCCCAACTCATGATGGGGTGATGTCTGGATAAACCCATTGTAAACTGAAGATTGTAAGTTGAAAGTGCATTTAGTGCACCTAAACTACTGACCATCACAGCCTCGCCTTCCCCTAAACATGTTCAGAACACTTACATTAGCCTACAGGTGGGCAAAATCATCTAACACAAGCCTATTTTATAATAAAGTGCTGAATATCTCATGTAATTTACTGAATACAGTACTGGAAGTGAAAAACAGGATGGCTGTATGGGCACTTAAAATATGGTTTCTACCGAATGCCTTTGCACCGTGTTAATATCAAAAAATCATAAGTGGAGCCAGTATACGTCAGGGGCCATCTGTCTACCCTTGGACACTTTGCATTTTAGAAATCCTTAAGAGAGGCCAGACATGGTGGCTCATGCCTATAATCCCAGCACTTCGGGAGGATTGCTTGAGGCTAAGAGTTCGAGACCAGCCTGGGCAACAGAGCAAGACCCCGTCGCTACAAAAAATAAAAAAACTTATCCGGGCATGGTGGTGCATGCACCTGTAGTCCCAGTTACTGGGGAGGCTGAGGCAGGAGGATCGCTTGAGCCCAGAAGTTCGAGGCTGCAGTGCGCTATGATGACACCACTGCACTCCAGCCTCAGTGACAGATTGAGACCCTGTCTCTTAAAAAAGAAATACATAAAGAAAAATAAAAAAGGAAATACCTAAGAGGTTGGTGTAGGGAGGTGAGTGAGAGCCCTTGGGACTGGGACCACTACCCTCAGCCTGTCCTGCTTA